GTGATGGAGAAATGCATCGAAATTCACGGTAGCAATGATTATAAGCTCCCTCACATGAAGAAGGATGCGTTGATAGAGGACTTCACGGCCTTCAACGTTGAGTGCGATGCCTATAACTACGAGAGTGCTCTGATCCATTTGAACTTCCGACTTGGGGAAGAGGCTTCCATGGAAGCACTCCTGAATTCTCAAGAATAAGGTCTTTTGGCAATTGAATAAAAATGCATTATATTTTTTGCCACATTTATTCGTTTCTGAAGTGACATACAAATACTACGTTATTTTGGAATGGAGTCCCATAATATAATCAAGCCAAAATGAAGGCTGCAACATTTCGGAACAGTGTAGTACTCTTTGTAAATCAATAATTTATTTCGTCGCTGTGCAATGAAATTATGGAGGTTTTACTCAACTTCAATTATTCAGCATGTTTCATAAGTTCCCACTTACTACCTCTGGTTGGCAACTATTGCAGACGTACATTCAGAGTCATTCAAAATACAAGTATAATGAATCCGTATTTAAGAAGCTAAACTGCAATGGTGCCAACCAGATCGCACAACTCGTCCAATCTGCTTTCCTCTTCGAGACGAAGGTTCATCAGTCAAGCTCATCGTGTCGTCTTCAAGGATCATTCCGTCTTCCTTGACATTGCTCCGCGGAATCTTGTATGTATTGCCACCATTTGCACGTAAAACAGCACGCATTACACGCTCCAGTGTGCAGAAAGTCTTCTCCAGGGTTTCGGCAGTAAACCGTCAAAAGAGGCTTTCACGGCCAGGACAAGCTCGTCGATAGTTTTGCACTCCATGGTCTGACATAGTGCTTCAATGGAATTAAAGAAACCTAAATCCAGAACGTTAAATCTGGGCTTTGGGGCGGCTGATTCCTGACTTGGATTCTAAGCTCAGCGTGCTCGACAGCATCAATAACTTGGGCATCATTCGCTGCAACATGCACATGAGCATTGTCTTGTTGGAGGTACACCACACCATCATTGTCGTCTGTTGACCAACACCATTGCGACTTGATAGCAGGCAGGACATGCACGACCAAAGAGGAACGATAAAGGGCTCGAGTAACATTCACAGTTGTCGTCACGATGGTACCAGCAGGACGGTTTGCGCTTGTTCTTTGAGCAGGCACACGGGCAATAAACGGCCAGCAACCAAGTTTACCGTCTTAACCACTTCGTGGACGTGCAACGGCGACAAGGAACATAAGTTTCGTGAAGTGGCTTTTGGAATGAACATGCCTTGGAGGATTATCTTCATCGTGCCAGAGGTAGAAACGAAGACATATTTTGGTGATGTAGAACCATTTTTCAACGACGTGAACTACATTAAACAATTCATTGTCATTGTGCTTACTGTAGTCCTCGAGAATGGCGTTGCAGAAGGCGGCTCGTTGAAGCATGTGCTCGAGTTTGAGCTTGGGCTTGGTCCAGTTTGCACGACGAGTGACCCACTTTTGCTTGATGTAGTTCCAAATGGTCCAAGTCGACACGCTAATTGCAGCAGCAAGAACGCGGTATGTTTGTCGCTGCGCCAACGGTGTTGCCTTGATTCAACGCTCAATTTCGTTGACTGTGTAGGTTTTTTTGCGGCCAGTTTTGGACATCCTGGAGGAAACATGGGCCCGGCGTCCTGGAGCTGTGGTCGTCCCTCCTCGCTGCTAGATCCTCGATATCGTTGTTCGGTGAACCCGAACGCGTCCGCAATGGATGCAATTGAAGCACGGGAAACCTTGCCGTTTACGCTGCGGAGAAGAAGCTCTTCGTACGCAGCTCCTCGTTACTCATCTGTAAGGTTTGACTTGGATTTTGTATGCAAACTTTGCATGTCTCTGTTGTCGGCTGGTGTGCAAATAAAATTGAAAGAAAGATACCGTGCGATAGAACACGTTGAGCATCATTTAGCCATTCAATTTTAGGCCAATCCGCTATGGATAACGTTTCATTTTCGATTTGTCTGCAATTGTTGCCAAACAGAGTAGTAACAAAAGAACTATGGTATCGGCATCAGACAAGCATTGGATGGCAAAACGAACGTCCGTGACCAAATATCTCTCCACGACGCAAGCCAGTAGACGAAACAGCCTCATGCGCTTGCGGAAGTTCTCCCCACGTCGCTTCTTAAGAATCACTTCGATCTCATTGCACGACAAAATTTTTGGGAGGTGGTGGGCACTCAGGATGCCTCAAGTTGATTGAGTGAATTTTGCAGATAGAACCAATATGAACCGGATGCCTTGCGAAATTCGATGGTTGTGAAGTTTATTCTATGTATTGTGCTTTCGAGTCAAATTTCCGGATATCGATTGATTTCTTCAACCAATCTCAAATCTCGCGTAAGGATTTGATTGGCTGATGCATTGCACAGTCAAAGCACAAAGCACTTCTTCACTGTCGACGGAAATGAGCGCGATTGAATCTGCGGTCCACCGGCATGCAAGCCCCAACACGGTGATGCATTGCCTATATGGTTACTTCTTCCTTGGAATGACTTCGAAACGAGGAGCCAATCAAACTGCTCAAATTTGGAACTAGCCAATGGGCGAGGTTTGTGATAGGTTCGGTTGGCGTGATTCGATTGACAGTCGTCCGGAAATTCGTATCAAATCAACAATATCCGTGTTCTGAATTTTAGATCACAGGTAGAATAGAACCAGCGATTGCGAAATCTGTCTAATCGCTGGAGCCCATTATTAGAATGGGGTACCGTAACAGGAAGCGCACGAATTGTTCATCTTGTAGTACAGGGTATTTTCTGGCGTTATCTGAAGCGATTTGGAGCTCCAATATCCTACTCCGTAGTTACGGAGAGTTTCCGGAATCGCTCTGGTTTAAAGGAATACTAGATCGTCGTACACTATGCGCTCGGTGGTGTGCAGCAGTGCCAACGTGGTCGATTGCTATAAGGACCACTTGGCATTGTCACCGACGGGTACCCATGATTGTCGGGCCGGTTACACGGTGGCAGTTATATTTTGCCTCTTCGTGTTGAATTGGATTGATTCTAACACCACGGCGGCCATGAGGAAGTCCAACTCGTGTCTCGACATCATGATGAGATTGCAGATGGCGGCACTGACTGCTGTGAAAGCCGACTTTGAATCGTACGGCCCAGAGGGCCTCACTCTCGAAGATTTTGTGACTGTGCTCTTGAAGCGGCTCATGTGGACAAATACCACCGTGGTGGAGCTCGTAGACGAGCTCGTGGACCTGTTTGGCCATATAGTGACGAACGTGGGTCGATCTTCGTCGTTAGAATGTTCTTACAACGAAATTCTCTGTAGGGCCAAGGCACGATGGTGTGGGACGACTTTACGTCGGCACTCATCGACGCCGGCATGGCAACCGGCCTGAATGAAACCCAGTGGCGCGATATGAAGTACGAAGAAAACGTTCTGTTTGTCGACAGCGCTAGCCGGCAGCCAAAGCATGTTCAATACATCTCTGAGCTCCGCAAGCTAATTGTTTTTGAAGGGACGCGCCCTGTCCTGCAGGTCGGGCAATTAATCCACGACACCGATTGAGTAGAAGCCGACAATAGGTGTACGACCCCACCGCAATCTTGGCGACCGAGTCGACTGAGACCAGCATTGACGACCCCAATTCCGCGCCATGCAGCCTTCCCCTAACGCATGAAATCCATCCCCTGGTATACACTGCTGGGTACCGCCGAGACCAAGATGCTGTCCGGTCCGAGCACAGCCCCGTCCAAGTACGTGCCGCCCATGCAATATGTCGAAAACAAGGTTGCCTCTTAGGCCATCAAGTACTTGACAACCCTGGACATCCTGGCTGTGTCGGCGGGAGATCTGAAACTCTCGTTTTGGAACTGCGCTATCATGTTTACGTCTGAAATTCCAAATCCTATGGAACTCGTGACCACGGAGCATCCACAGCGCATTCTTGAGTGGGCGCCGGCAGCATCTCGGCTCTTTACCGTATCGATCGACAACCGAATTCTCGTGTGGATGGTACGTCCCCGCCATCCATTCGTATGTTTGGGGCGCGTTGACCGGTTGAGGTAGGTGGCCATGAAAGGAGCGAAAAAGTGTACGGTCACGTGCACCCATGTCCTCGACAAGCACAAAGACATCGTGCAAGATTTGCTCCTCGTCAACGATGACACCCTCATTTCGTGCAGCATGGATTCACTCATCCTGATCTGGGACCCCCATACGCTTCAGTGCAAGTCAACCCGCGCCGGCCACAAGTACGGCGTCCGAACCCTCGCCAGGCATTCGTCAACCATGTTTGTGTCTGCCGGTTCGATTCGTCGACCACAAGAACTACTGCTTGATCCATGATGACCTACGTAGGCTTTGACATGGACATGCTCGGGTGGGACGTGTCGGGACTCAGCAACTCGCCGATTTTCAAACTCACGGGGCACCTCGCGCCGATCGTGGCCATTCAAATCGTGGCTGGTTGTGACCAAGCAGTCAGTTTAGACGAAGACGGTGTGTGTGCAGTGGTGCCCACGGGGTCCCTATGACATGCGTCTCTGCGGGGGGTGTTTTTTCGCTAGGCTGGTTCAAGTGGTGGAATTTGCAAAACTTACTCTCGACAGAAGACAACGACCGTTGCCTCCAGACATTTCGCTTTGGCAGCGACGAGTACGTACGAGCGCGTCATGGCCAGGCGATCTCAGAGCCGCCCCTGCAGGTATCCCTGGAAGCCAACGTCGTTTACCCTTTTTCACAACGGAACAACGATTGTCGCGTGTGGCTACCGCGTCAAGTGGATCCAACGCGTGCGCCTCAAGCCAAAGTTGGTCGCGTCCAATGCGGTCCTGTACAACGATCACTCGTTCACTGTGCTCTCGACCACAGACAAAGGTACGTCGAAGGGGGATGGGCTACTCACTTAGTCGGAGAATGCCCGCGACCAACTCGATCATCTTGCGCAGAGCTTCGAGTATGGGATGCTGTGACGGGGGCGCTGTTGCACGTGTTTCGAAGCGTGACGCGAAGTGACATCACCCAAGTCGTATTTGACACCCTACAGCGTAAATGCATCGTGGCCAATCAAGTAGGCCTCCTTGCACCGTTCCTTGCTGACTTCATGCTATCGTCTCAAAAACACTACGGTTGTACACCAGGGCGGGGAAATCATTGTTCTAAACGCAGCCTCTGGCACTGTCCTCAAGACTTTTCCGCGGCACTCAAACCAAGTGAGCTGCTTACACTACTGCAAGGAAGACGGATGCGTGTTGAGTGCGTCGTGGGACAAATCTCTCCGTGTGTACGACGACCGTGCGCCGTCCAACGTGCTCTTGCGTAGCGTTGCAGGTGCATCTATCGTTCGCCTCAACGACATGGCTTTTGATCGTGTGCTGCTCCCTTTCAAGATGCACATGACAGCGACATCAAGAGCATGGCGTACTCGCATTCGTTGAGCCTCGTCGCGACCGCCAGCAACGACGGCCACATCAAAGTTTGGGATTACGTTTACTTTCTCCTGGACCAGCAGCACCACACAGGGTGTGAAGTCAACTGCCTGGCATTTCTTGAGCCATATCCCCTACTCGTTTCGGGTCACGAAAACGGTACAGTGTGTCTGTTCACCGTGCGACCGAGTGTGCCGCAGCTGCTCTACAAGTTCTCCACGTACGTGACGGCATGCGTTGCATGGAATGGCGCCGACCGAACGTTGTTGGCATCGTTAGCACCACTGCCATCTGCACGATGCACACGTACTACGACGAGAAAGGTGGCGACTGCGTGCGCGACGACATCACGATGGGAACGCATGTACTTGTGGTCGGCGACCAAAGTGGCATGATGCGATGTTGGGCGCTTAATCGAGTACGGTCGAGAGAGTGGCAATCTGTCAATGCCTTGAAATTTTGGATGAATGGGTCGTAGGTGTTGCAGGCGGGCTCAGTGGAAACCACACCGGAAGCCGCGTTGCCGGCCAACAACGAGTCGTACAACCCACGCCGTCGCATTCAACGCGAAGGAAAGACGGCCAGCCGACTGGACCTCCAGAGCCGTTCGTCCTCGAGTACGTGGCAATCCAGACAGCGAGGCACGAGCTCTGACGACCAAATGGGTTTCAGACTCGCCGCGGCTAGTCGACACATCGTTGGTAACGGTCGTAGCGGAGTGGAAAGCTCATTCCCTTGGCATTCGAAGCATTTGCGTTGTGGACGACCCCAAGTGCATCTTTACATGCTCGTTCGATAAGAGCACCAAAGTCTGGGCGTACACCGGCGAATGTCTGGGGGTGCTGTGTGGGGACAAGGAATTATTGTACTGGAAGTTGATAGTTGACACCAACGGCGTGTCGGAGCGGAAGCTTCAATTTGCTCACGCATTGTGGCACTCTTTGAAAGATCGACCAGAGTTTATCCTGCCTGAGCAACCCAAGACAAGCGAAGCAGCTTCCACTCGGCGGTGCGACTCCAGTCGGTGACGAAATTGAATGAATCTAAGCTTGCGAGAAAACTCATTTAGGCCCGCCTTAGCCAAGCAAGCCAGTGCCCCCACCGTCTCGCCGTCATCTGCCTTTGACGCGACTACGTGTAACCATCTCGCCAGCGATAAAGACCGATTGTTCGGCCAATTGCGAGGAGAATGCACATGGAACAAGCCTGAAATCCAACTAGCTCGGGTCAGTAGTCGCGACTGCCAAACTTGTCAAGCATGACGGCGAAATTCTAGGAACGAGCCTGGGAAGTCGAAGCCTTCAAGTATCAAGCGAGAATGGAAAAGATATTCAAGATCAAGCGATCGCCGATGTCGTCATCCAAGGCAATGGTGCCGCAGCCTCGGATTGGCGACAATGCCCCGAGTTCGTTCATGGAGGTGAGGTTTGCGCATGTGCGGCTACATTGCAGCACTGCTTGCTTCACGGTGCTCAGCATAGTCGCTCAGCCAAGTCGACTGGAGCGAGTTGCCGAAAACGTCACTCACAGCACTCCCCCAGCTGAATTCGACGCAGCTGACCCAAGCCCCGTACGACGACAAGGACAATTGGAAAATCGACAGCAAAAATCGACAACAAATGATATACAGTAACTTGTTCTCCGAGACGTGCCGGACGGCCAAGTACGCTGGCCAGGGGCCGTTCGTTGCCCTCATCGACACCTCACTTCTATAGACAGCTCCAAGGCAAGCGGCAGCCAAAGCTTATGCTCGAGAATATCGACATTGCACCGTCGCCGTTCCTCCTCGAGAAGTTGGGTCCGGACAAAGCCTACAAGAAACCACGGTACCCCCTGCGGGCTACCCCCCTCTCGTCGCGTCTAACTCCCTCGCAGTCCCTACCCGCTCGTGAGGACAGCGCACTTGATATAGTTCATGCGATCATGGCGGACTTGTAGTGCGGAAACCCCCAGCCAAGACATCTTCCCCCCGACGCCAACTCTATGAACCGAAAACCACCCCTGAACACCCTCAGAACCAACACATGGACCAAATCGAACGCATAATACAACACGTGTGTCCAGCTCAACATCATCAATGAATCAGGAGCGACGTTTGTAGGCGACTCGGACTACCCGCGGCGGCCATACCACCACCCACGACAGCACGACGCAGTCGCAAGTCCAAGGCAACAATGCCTTTACGACGGTCAAGCCCGTGCATCTCTCGGCATCAATCGCGCGATCGATCAAACTTGTGGAAGACGATGTCGCTGACAAGTTATCTAAACCTAAAAAGGCGAGCACGAAATCGTCGAAAAAGCGATCCGACGCCGCGGATCAGTCGACTGCGTTGGTGCACAAGGCGGCATCGCTTATCGTGGCCAAGCCAAAGCCTGCCGTCGAAACGACGAAGGATCGAGTGCAGGCTGACCAAGCGCTTCTCCTCAAGCAAACCTTTGGTAATTCAGCGTCGCCCGTGCAATCGATTCCGACGCAATCCATTGTAGGACCGTACGCGAAAGAGATGGTGTACGAAGTGTGCAAGTTATTTGTCGACACGGACGTCGACAACAGCGGGTCCATCGAAACCAAAGAGTTCGTACAACGGCTCGTGCGCGTGCAGGGTGCCGAGATGAAGGACGAGCTAGAGAGGTAGTGACGTTCATTTCGACGCCACCGTCGACCTCCCAACCAACCGTCGGCTGTGTAGTTTGTTCGAGTGCATGGACCACGATCACAATGGATCGCTCGACATGGCTGAGATGCTCAAAGTCCGTGCCTCTCCACCTTCATTTAAACTCTAGAAACCATGACCACTTGGTTGCAGGCGATCTTTCCCAAAGCGAATGCCCGTGTCCGAGATGACATGATGGCCTATTCGCGACTAGCGCTGAGTGCAGTGTTCGCCGCCAAACCCAAGCAGCGGGAACTGTCGAAAGACGCCATCGACGACCTCACCCAGCTATTTCGCGTACCAACGCGTCGCGACCCTGCGCCGTCTCGGAGCTCATGAATTTGCGTAGATATTCGACCACGACAAGAGCGGTTCCATCGACGTCGACGAGCTGCTTCAAGGCCTGCGCGACAACGACGCGTTTTACGCCGGTCGCCATGAGTACGGTGACAACGATACGTTGGACCGAGTGTCCGCCCAAGACATCGAACGGCTCATTGCTCAATTCGACACGAACTCCAACAAGTCGCTCGAGCTCCCCGAATTCATTGAGCTCCTTCGAGACTATTTTGAATAATGAATGGATGGTCGGGACGCGTCGGACCAGCGAACTCGCGTGATGCCGTCTAGTATTCGTTTCCATACAAGTCCTCCTGTCAGGTCGATGCGTCCCTCGTGGCAAGCGAAGCATCTTAAAACCCCTGGAAGCACCCGTCGTAGGCGGGCATTTTGTTGTCCAAAGGAAGGCCATTTGTTCTTTCCCACACGCGCGGCAGGGTCACAGGTATCACTTCGATCAAAGCGTCGTCACGGCTGTCGGGGACAACGCACCTTGGTAGAAAACGCCGCTTCCATTCGGGCTCCCTGGCTTCGTCTGCATTCCATGACAGAGGCATGGCACTCCCCGGACGCTCCCCGGCTGGCGGTGGTAGTTGTCGCACGTCAAAGTCCCAAAACGCGACCATGAACGTCACGCGACGTGGTGGTGTGGCATCGTTTGCTGCTTTCGAGTGATCGCCACCAGGGCGTCCAGGAACAACGCCGTGGAGAACTTTCCCATTGAACACGACGAAACGATTCTCGTTCGGGTGAACGAGCCAGCCGTGGCGGCCCAACTTTGGCATGCCAAAGCTCTGGTCGGTCACCACCGTTGGCCCGCCGCACGGCGCTTCGAGAAACATGACAGTCGAGACGATGGGATTGCGCACGCCACCACGGCCTTCGTCCGCACTGTCAAAGTGGAACTGGTGGCCCGAATCGTGCGGGCGGCAATGGGTCCACCACTCGGCAAACTTGGCGCGTTTGACAGCAGGGACTCGTGCCTGTGCCAGTTCTTTCAGGTAATGGACGACGTCGTCAAGGCCCGACACACGCGGCTGCGACAGGTCATGGACGTAGCTGAAATACGGCGACGGAGGGTCGACGGAGTATTGATGGGCTTTCCAAAACGGCGAGTGCGACGACGACAAAGCGTGTTGCATGAACGCGAGCATGGCTGGAGGGAGCGCATTGTCCGCGGCACACACAAACGGGCGTGGATCGATCGAGGGACTGTCCGACGTATACGCTAGTGTAGTCGCAGCAACTGGAGCTCCCGGAAACGAGTACTGCAGCACGGCCGTGGCCAGTCGATGTGTGTACCCTCTGGTTTGCAGGAACCGGTCGGCTTCTGCAACTTGGCCATCTTGCACAAGAAGGAGAGCGTGCTTCTGGGCCGCAAGGTACTGGTCATCAGTCTCGTCGGCCGGCGGGACATCTTGCGGAAGCGCGGACATGGCGGCGCGACTCTCCCAAGCTGGTGGTGGTGGCTGTATAATGCATGTTGCAAAAACACGATACAATTGGTACTGGGTTCGAGACCACGAAGGCCAATGTATTCCAAAAATCGGTACCAGTCCGAGCGAGAGGATCGAGCTGGGAGACCCTTGCATCATGGAGACTCTAGTCTGTGCCAATCTACCTCACGTCCTCCCGTCAGCGCATTGGATGGAGTGCGCGCGCCTCCACGGTAATAATGGAGCGGTCATCGGCAAATCCAGCTCGTAGTGAATGAAGGTCGTGGTGAGGACGAACAACGGCGTGAACGGCAGTGAGTGACTTTGTGGCAGAGGGATGGACACCTTTGCGGTGGAACCGTATGAAGACGCGATTTCCCACTGGCCGGGCGATGGCCAAGTGATTCTAGCTCAGTACACGTCGACACACGTCGTGGTGTACCAAGCGTACAATGCATCCATTGCGGGCGCACTGGTGCGTGCGAAATGCTTCCACGACCCGGCAGTCGCTGCTGCTGGCTTTAGCATGACATGAATGACGTGGATCAAGCCCAGGCTCGCAACCAAGAGCGCGTTGTAGTGCTGGTGCTGAAGCGACCAGCATTTGACGCAGTCGTCCGCGATTGTATTTCCTTTTGTAAATTTCAGTAAAAATATTTAGAGGGCCCGAGACTCGAACCCGGGACTGACACGTGGTTTACCACTGCGCTATCGCGTCAATACCTTTAATTTTTGGCGCAGCAAACCTATATAGAGCACATCGGCGTCTGTGCTCTTCGGGTGGGATGTGGGTCATCATCGTCGTCGCCTCGACATCGTTCATACACATAGTCAGAACACCCGGTTCTGTCGAGAACATCCCCACTGCCCTGTCCATCAGGTCGCAGGATGGTCTTGCAACAATAGCAGGTTTTTTGTG